AGGGTTCGCCACTTTCTCGCGCTGATTTGCGTGCTGTCAATATTAATCTTTGCGATATGTGTGTTATTGTGTCCGCGCGAATTCCAAATCCAAATGAAGATCCAACTCTCGCGGATAAAGAAGCTATTTTAGCATCGCTCAACATCAAAGCTATGCAGGTTCATTGATTATTTTCTATATTTTTGTCTTAAATTTACTTTATTTTTAAGTACCATTTTTTTTCAGTTTGATGATACATTAGGATTTTATCCAATGAGAAATATAAATGGTCGCGTATCTCCTCTTGGTAGTCCATTATCATTGCAGAAAAAAGGTGCCCGATTCGGAACCAATGTACCAATGATTACTGAATTAGGTTCTTATCTTTCTATACATTCTCACTAGTTTTTATTATTGTTGATGAGAGTTTTAATGTTACAAATTTTTAGTAAATGATTCAAACGTACAATTTCTCGATCAAGATGATGATGATGATCCCGATACGGAGCTATATTTAACTCAACCTTTTGCGTGTGGTACTGCATTTGCAATTTCAGTGCTGGATTCCCTGATGAGCACGGTAATTCAGACATTTATCTTATTTGTATGGATAAAAACTCGTGTATCTCAGGTTCATCTGCTGTTCTTTAGCTGGAATAAAGGGATTTTCGAAAGTAAAACCTTAAAGATGTCGGAATCTCCCTATATTTCTATTCCTAAATCATTGAAATTTCGCATTTCGCCTTTCAAAATGAAAGTCTTTCATAAAATAATCTTAGGTTATTTGGACGAAAAACGCTACATTATCTTTATTTTACGAGTTTTTTAAAATTAAATCTACTATTTAAATTTGACATGTTTTTAGACATATTTCAACGATTCTGCTTTGACATTGATTCGGACTTTGGTGACAGGTGGAGCTACACCAGAGCTTGAATTGATTCTTGCAGAAGGGGCTGGACTTCGAGGCGGTTACAGTACACCAGAAACTTTGAATAATCGCGACCGGTGCAGGATATCACAGTTAGCCCTTCAAGATCAACCATTTGAAGGAATTACGGTTTGTTTCATCGTTTTATAAATACAAGTTAAACTTTATTGCCCTAGTGCTGACATTTCATCTCTACTACTATTGCTAAGTGAATTTCTAGCAAAATTGATCTGATCCCACAAGCAAGCGAAATGAGCCTAACGAGCTAGCAAGGTTTCGCAAAAAAAAATCATATTTTTCACATTTTTATTTTATTTGTGTTTTCATTTATACCAGGAGTGCGTTTTTTTTTAATATTTCTGGTTTATTGCTTGAAGCCCAAAAAAAACTAAAATGCTTCAGCCCTTTGGCCTTTAAAATTGCCGAGATTTTCCAAGAATACTTTGATTTATTTCTTTAATATAAATTTTTCAGACTGGTAGCACATATGGACAGATGTTCAGCATTGCTTTAAAAAGGCACGGACAATTATGCATTGGACTCTATCGATTGCATGATCAAGCAGCAGTAGATTCTAATAAACGATATGTGATAACAAATCCACCTTCTGAATTAAGATTATTGCTTAGCGATTATGTTAGTAACGCTATTTGTTCTTTTGTTATTTCTAAAAAATTTAAATTCTTTTTGCAATTTCTCTCAAAATTAGTAAAAATAAAAAAATTTTATATCAGTGAATTTCATTATTTTTTATTTATTTAGTTTTAATAGTTCGAATAGATTATATGCGATGGTGATTTTTGATGGCGAAATATTTCACCAATAAACATCCATATTAATGAAACATGAAATAATTTTGGGCGCAGAAAAAATTTATTTAGAAAATGATTTTATAAATGAAAAAAAAATTAATTCATAAAATCTAAACGAAATATTTTCAGGTTTATGTATTAGAACAATTCGATCCTGGATTAGAATATGAACCGAGGAAACATTTCTTATAATATAATAAATTCTTATTTAATTGTTTAAAAAAATTTAAGCCACTTTTTATTCCAAAAAAATGAACTTTTATAAGTGAAAGTTGTTTTTCAACCAAATATAGGATTTGTATTCTTTTGTAATTTTTTTAAATGTGCTAAATGCTGCCAAATTGTTTTTGCATTATACAAGAATTATCGGTGATTATTTGTAAATATGTTTGTCAAAAATGTTTGAATATAAAACTGTTTCATTTATTATCATCTGAAATATATTTTATTAAATTTTCGATTATTATACACTAATAATTTTTTCCCCGCAGCATCTGTTATTTCTGGTTTCGCTAGGCTAACTGAATAAAACATCGCAAAAGACAGGAGAATGGTAATACGAAGATCCGCAGCACCATTTAGGCAACAGTAACTTTTCTTTCCATACCATTCACAATACAACGACCATGAAGTCACAGCTGATGATCGAAAAAGAGCAATTTTATCCAGCAAAAAATGAATTTTGTTACATCCAAGAACCTCATAAATGAGTAATTGTAATCAAATTGTATAAATGATAATCAAAAAACATTATCTTGTCTTATCAATCAAAAAACAATACTATCTTAGATCGCATAGGTTTAAAAAATTTCTTTAGAGACGATTTTCTTTGAGAGGAAGAGATATAAAAAAAATGAATATTTTTATGGAAGATTCAATTTGAAATTAACTGGAAAATCACGTGATACCAAAGAACCATCCTTCAAATAAATGAGCCCTCTGGAAAAATATTTTGAATCTAATGGCCAGTGCAGCTAGCCAAGCCAAAAAAATTGAGTGCCTTAAGCAGAAAGAAAAAGGAGACTGAAAAAGAAATAGTGATACCTATTTTTTATGTTAAATATTAATTAAAAATAAAGCAGTTAGTTAAAATGTTAATTCATCATTTATCATTTTTATTTTTAATCATTTTCACAAAAGAAATGCATTTTCGCAAACATATCTGTTTTATTATTGAGAACATTTATAAAAAATTTTTAAAATTCTTATCTGATATTTAATTAATCAAACAAAAAATTTAATTTTTTACAGTACTTTATTTAATTAATTATTTGCCCTATAGGAGGGTAATGAAACGAATATTTATTTATCTTTTGGTCAATTCTTTAAAAATATTAGCAAATACTACAAGCACTTAATTACCGTGTAAATTTTTAAGCATATTTCTATGATTTTTGGAAGTTTTAGGAGAATACAATTTTATACTAATTTTTTAATAGTAAAATATACATATATATATATATATATATATATAGGTCAATTGAAATTTTTGAAGATATGACCGTATCAATTTTTTATTCTATTATTTGCAAATTAATAAGCATTTCAAAAGGAAACTTTCACAAAATAATAAAATTTAAATAAAAAACCGAATTTCCCAAAAAAATTTCAAATTTATAAGAGAGGAAGGAAAAAAAATTTATTAAATGGAGAAAAAATAAAAGAAAAGGAAGTGGTAGGGAAGAGGAGAAAGTGGGAAAGGATGTGGGGGAATTGCTAGTCAGTAGAACCAACCAAATGCTAAAAAATGAAGAAGAATAAATAACACTCAATTTTATAGAAAACTTTTAATATTCCACTGATTTATCTATAAATATCTAAGCCTTAGTGCTCATACAAATGGTACTTCACGATTCTGCGCTTTTCATATATTCATACATTCGTTCCTTATGATGCAGTCATTAGTCGATGAAAATAAATGATCTCACTTAATTATAAACAATCAAAAGTTCTACTAAATTTTGTTTCTGTTAGAATTGATAAAATTGATAAGAATGAAAAATGAAATTTTTTTTTTTTGCACGGTAGACGGTAAAAATGTTGAACAACAGCAATGGATGAGCGAAATTAATGTTCAGCTTCATGATTTGGTACGGATATTTTTTGATTTCTAGCAGGTACTATTTAACTCTGAAAGAAATTACAATAAAAATTTCTGCCGAATACGAAATGTTACAAAAATTTTAATTTGTACCAACGAACTATCAGTCATTTATACTCGATGTTTCATCAGGAAATACCATAAATGCATTAAGGCTACTTTAGTGTTTGCTAATACAGTTCCTTCCTATTTTTCTTCCCTTCATTACAGTATATTGACGAAAATCAATGGTTTTGAAACTAATAGAAATAGAAATTCAATCAAGCTGACTTAAACTGACTGTAATAAAAATAAGAAAGATGGATCCTACCTTTAATCTTTGCGGCGCTTTGATTTTTTTGAACTTATCAATATGATGGAAGAACTGGATAAGTATGATTGATCGATAATCGAGATTTTGTTCAAAATTTTTAAAATTCTATTATTCGATTTGTAACGTCTCATCATTTGCAATGAATAAATTCAAATGTTTATTCATCGCTGTAAATAATCTGAAGCAGCTTAATTTGGCGAGTAAAATAGAAGAAATAAAACATAATAAGCGAAAAATCGTGGATTTAGGTGCAGAAAAAAGAAGCTACTGTGTGGAAAAAAAACCGCACGTTGCACATTTTTTTCATGCTTTTTGTATATTTTTTTCCATGTTCATTTTATTTCTTCGAACGGAATTTCCTATTTTTGTCGCATACAAACGCAAAAAAATATCGCTCAAATTTTATTCTTTACTAGAAATTTTAAAATTTTAAGGTTAGATTTTGTAATAAAAAATTTCTGCTCTCTTGAGCTCAAAATTTCAAGTGACGCAAAGTCACCATTTAAAGTGAAATGCAACTGATGAAATGCTATTGTCATTCATTTGTGTCTCCCAAATGACTTTCTGACGAAACAGTCTCACTTTAAATAGTTCGACAAGTAAGCCAAACTAGAAATAGTGTAAACAATAATTTTGCAGTGGAATTTTTTCAGCACCAAAATATAAGTATTAATTTATGAAAATCATTATAGAATTGTTTTTTTTAAAATTAAAACAATGTGAAGTGGATAATTCTACGATTTCATCCATTTTCGATATTTTTTATCCATTTTTTAAAACTACAATAAAATTTTAGACATGTAAAGGTGATTTTTAAAATTTCCCTTTCAATAAACTATCAATTTAGTTGAAAGAACTATTAAAATGGTACCAAAGATATTTGAAATCAACAAAATGAGGTTCATTTCTAATTGATCAGCTAAAATTCGATTGGATAAGAGTGCAGTGAAGAGGCGGTCGTAATAGGATATTCAAGAACGGATTAGTCTCGACGATGGCCAATCTTTGGATGCTTATGTTTCTTTTGCCATTACGAACCATGGCTTATATTTCAGATTCATGGGCTATGTTATCGTCAGATAGGCCATCTGCTCCACAATGTGTTGAAATTCCTAAAAATCTTACGCTATGTTATGGAATTCAGGTTAGCTTTTCAATTTCATTTTTTTAATAAAAAGTCGTTAGGATAAGTAATTTTTCAAAGGGAAACAGTCTGATTTTAAAATATGAATAGCAGAAATTTAGAATGCATTAAGTAGATTCTACTTAATAATAAGTGATGTTGAATAATTTTTCAGTATACAAAAATGCGTTTACCGAACCTTCTTGAGCACGAGACGGTGAACGAAGTAATAGAACAGGCCGCACCATGGATACCATTACTTAGGCTTAATTGCCATCCAGATACCCAAGTTAGTAGTTCAACGGTACTAACGAAAAGATTTCTTCGCTAATGAATTTTCCTATTTTTTGGTTAAGCAAAATTTTGAGTGAAAAGCTATTTTTTTTCCATTATCATATATATTTACGAAAAGATCTTTATGATTGAATTTATTAAATTTTCACTAAATGGAATGAATTTAATTTTTCCATAAATTTCTATTTAAATAAATTTTCTAAGAAAAAAAATGTATATATGCCTTTTTTCATAAATGAAACGAAATGAAAAATAAAATTTTACATTATGATGAATTGTACTGGGAATAGCTCCTTTAAAAAACCTAGAAAAAAACCAAATATTTAGTTATTTCTTTGTTCACTATTTGCACCAGTATGCCTGGCAACCATGGATCGAGAAATATTACCTTGTCGATCATTATGCACGGCTGTACAATTGGTATATTTTTCCGCATCTTTCTAGATTCAATTGAGTCTTTTAGAAAAAGGTGTTTTCGATTTAAATTCGTTCGCTAAAAATACAAAAAACTATTATTATGAATTTCGCACCATTAGATTGTCAATATAAAATAGTATATTTCGAAATTAAATTTAAAAATTTCTTCCAATTACTTTTGCTATTACTACTCGATTGCATCAGGGTTGCGAAAATAGAATGCAACAATATGGTTTTCCATGGCCAGAAATGTTATCATGTAGTAAATATCCAGCTGATAACGATATGTGTATTGGCGCTGTTTCGGAGCGATCCACAAGTGAGCAATTATTTCAACTACCATTCCTAAGCGAGTTATCACTATTCAGTCTTTTCAGTAATTTATTGTAATCGAAATCACTGAATAATTTCTATGCAGAAATTTCATATTTACTCGAATTTTTGAATTTGCAAAAATTTCCTTTTTATAAATTTTATAAATTTCGTAAGAATGAATAATAACTTTAAATAATAGTGAAAATTAGTTGAAATATTAAATCATATTAGTTAAAAAATCAGAAATATCGGACTGATAAGAAGTTAGAAGTAAAAACGATAGAAGATAAGTGACAAGCGGTTAAGTTGAAAAGAATTTTGAGTCTACGATGGCTGTCAGTCGGCAAACTTTAACAGAGTCGAAGTTTTCTTTTCGAGATTATCTCATTCCGATTTTTATTTTCAACACGTTTTTTCTTTTCAGATCTTAGCAATATTTGCTCATCTTGCAATCAAATTGGCACATATGAAAATATTCTCGATCATTACTGTCGCTCTCAAATCGGTTTTTCTCATTTTTTTCCCGCAAATTTTAACTTTCAATCGTCTAAATTACTTTATAATAATCTTATGATTTTTAAAATATATTTCATTATAATATATCGCTCGTATGAATATTATATTTAGGAAGTTAGTCGGTTGACTTAAGCTTTCAGGATAGAAGTGCTGATGGAACTTTACTGTATCCGAGAATCCCGTAGAGAATCGTCTTAGAGATAAGGGTCATTTTGATTTTAATGGCACTTCCAGTTAAGAGCCTCAAGAACCTCAGATGCATCACAATTTAAGACAATTTTACGCAAAATAGATAGATTTTTCGCCGTTTTTGTGGCTCATTTCGCAGATTATTACATTTTATTTTTTCTTAAATTTTATAATATTAAAATATCGCAGTAATTATTTTTTGAAATTGGAAAAGAATTTTAAGAATAAAGGGAAAAAAATTATAATATATAAAAGAAAAAAGATATTCTCTCTCTTTAAACCAAATGAAATATCAAATTTCAGTATTGAAGGCACGAATTGGCAGTATTAGCGATTCACATGTTAAAGTAAGAAAAGCTCGATCATTAAAGCGAAATGATCGAAGAAGGTTGCATATATTTATTATTTATTACTATTATTATTATTCATTGTGATTTATTCATTTACTTAAAATAATTTTTTCAATTATGAAAATAAAGAAATTATCGAATTAAAGAAATTATCGAAAAAATAAATTAGATATAGCATTTCAATGTTAATTAATATTTTTCTGATAAAATGAATAAAATTATTTCAATGAATCGCTTCGATCTTTTTGAACGACTGAATAAAATGAGAATTTTTTCCAAAATTCAAATTATTCAGACTTAGTTGAACAACCATTATACTGAAAAAAGTATTATTACTGATAAGATCTTGATAAATCTGCGCTTTAGTTGCGCATATTTGCCATAGGGCTATTAGCCATAATAATATTATTGATAATAATATATGTGATAATTCATTTCTTCTCTAATCTAAATAATATTTTATTATAATTCCTCATAATTATTATTAACTAATTTTATTCATCCAATTAGAAGCTTTAAAAGAACATGAGTTTATATAGCCAGTCATATCACTAATCATAATGAATTATCACATTCATGCAGTGAGTGATAGTTATCACATCAGTATTAATAGTAAGTGAGATAATGTCATTTGATATTTTCAATCGAACTTAATCACATACATGCCAAGTGGAAAAAATAGTAGCCAAAATAATTACGAAAAGTTCGTTCCAATTAGTGATGGCAATATATCAATATTTCAATGGCCAAGTGATATCTTGGCCATATTTTTATATATTCCAACCATATTAGCAGCCATCAAACTAAACCTGATTAAAAATAATGAGTGCTAAAGTGCTAAACACGCTATTTAAACTTAGAATAATAAATATATCATAATAATAATATATACATATAATATAATATTAAATATCAGGTGCAAATTTCATTCAGATCATTGCTGCGAGATACTGTAATTCACTTTTCCGCCGAACGAGGTTGTCCGTGCCCAGTTGATAGTTCGCCAGACAGTCGATTGTTAATAATGGCTAATCAAAATGATAAAGGCGATCTAATTGCGAATCTTATCTTGCCTTGGAACAACGCTGATAAAGTTCGTTAAGGCTTATTTTTAAACCTTATTTAAGAATTTTTAACTCATTTAATACTTAAATAATACTTTATTAAGAGAATAATCAATAAAAATTTTCCAGAATTATTATAATATTTATAAAAGTACTTAGAAATTAATTCAACAAATGATTGCTGATTTCGATTATCATAAAGTGCACTCCAAATTCACTTTTCTTTCTTTCATATCTTTGATTTTCCAATGAAATTTTCTAATAAGAAAATTTTAGTAAAAATATAAATTCAATAAATTTAATAATTTTCTCATTAAAAAATTTTAAAAAATTTAAATTTGCTTTTATTATTTAAAATAATATTTTAATATTATAAATAATATTTTAATAATAAATGGTATCATCGATAATAATGCCTGCAAGCACAGCAAATAGGTTCGATTCGTGCTCATTGATAAAGACATTGAAACCTATAACTAAAAGCGAAATCGAGATTAAGACTTGTATCTTTGCCACTTTCAAATGGCTCCCATAGACAAACCAGCCAAGTCATGGTACTTCTTTACAGTTACACAAAAAAAAAGATGATGATGATGCATAGCACTAATCACCTCCATTCATTTATGGCCTTTCCTTCTTCTATTGATAGCACATTCATCGCATTCATTATTTGGTTGCTAGCTTCCTCGCTAACGATTTAGAGAGGAAAAACCATAGAGTCGCTTGGAGATAGAAACACTAATGGCTTATCATCATCAACAATGTTCAAATATGTCTCACAGTTAAGTTATTGGTAACGAAAAACTAGAAAAAAATCTGTCAATTTTATAAAATTGTGTAAAAAAAAAGTTGTACAGTTTCGTCGTCCTTCTTTTTTTTTCTTTTCATCTTTTATTGGTAGAAGAATTTTTCTTTTTTTTTTCAGCCATTCAAAAAGGCAATTCGAAGCTTTCGTAAATTAAACTGTCAGTCATTAGGTCGAGAAATTCGAGAAAGCGCATATCGCAGAAGTTTTCACCGAAAAATTCACTAATAGTTTTTTTTTCTTTAAATATAACGGATAATATTAATTATCGCATGATTTTTCTATTAATGACCGCCGTTACTGCATAATATTTGCTTATGCAAATGTACAAATATATACATATAAATACATATATATATATATATACCAATTTTCGCGTAGCCAAAGAATTTTTTTTGTAAGGTCATAAGGTCACTTTACATGAGCATAAAAAATTTATCTAGTCTTATTTTGCTTTTAATAATTGTGTAAATTAAACAGCTCAAATATTCAAATATTCAAATAAATATTTCATTTATTTTGAATTATTATGTAATAATTTAAGCCCTCATTCTCGGAGTATTTGCCAGACACTTCCACAAGTTTCAGGCCAAATATTATTACATAGATTTTTAAACTTAGATAGATCATTTTTTGCACCATACTATTCGATTTTTACTTTTGACGGGATGTGCCATTAAAATAATCGAATGACATTCGTGATTCTATGTTTTGGTTCCCATGGCAAAATTATCTTATCACTAGGTTTCTGCCATATTCACCATATCCACTGAAAATCGTCTTGCAAATTTTTTGAAAAAATTTAATAAAATTTTAATAAAATATCATGGATCCTGAATTTAAAAAAAATTTTGTTTACCACTTTATATATTATAAACTCTGTACTTTAATTAGTCATAAAACTTACGTGCACTTCGAACCAGTCTGTTATGTCGTAAATTTTTTATCGAAAAAATATCAAAAGATTAAACCAATTTCTTATCACAGTTTGATTTTCATCGTTAGTTAATCAACAACACTTTCACCAAGATTCCAAGAAAATAAAACTGATATTCAAAAAGGTCATTTTAATAAATCAAATATTCACAAATCAAGCAAAGAAATTTGGTAATGTAGTTACTTAAATACATTATTTAATGATAAAAGCTAAATATTTCCAGGGCCATAAAGATGCATTAAAATTTATTTACAAAAAAGCAGCTAATATCGCTAAAAGAAATAAAAAAAGAAGCAAAGATACATGAATCACAAACTGACCTACTATTGTGCAACTGCAAGAGATGAAAATCATATTGGGCTATTCCGAACACCATTCTACCTCTTTATCACGCATTCAAATTCACTTTATTTGCTTTTTTAAAAAAAAACCCTCACCATTACTATTTAATGGTTAAATTCGCTATGTTGGTTTGTCGAACTAGACAAATATACACCACGCAATCCTTTTGCAATAGAAAGACACTTAAGTCACAAGGATCATCCAGGATTTTTGGACGTTTATTCCTGCTGGGAGCAGAATTCGGCGTTCCGAAATGAGCAGCAACCCACTGAACAATTCTACTCACCTTTGTTTTTCTACCACCCGACGAAGAGTGGTGCATTAGCTGATTTGAACACATGTCTTGATTCTCGGTGGCAACTACCTTGTTGTACTCAATTCTACTCACCTTGAACCATTGAACCATTGAACCATGTCACTGAACCATCGACGCAGTTTACTCACTTACTGCTTTTCCAAATACCATTACTCCACCTTAATATATATTAAGTTCCAATATTATCTGCCATGAAGTAGACTTAACTTTCTAAAATTATACTCATTCATCTCCTTACCACTGTTTCTTATTATAATTTACTGTTTTATTATGATTTTTATTACTGGCATGAATATAAATGGTTGAAATTCATGCTCTAATAAACCTCATTTTTGATGGAATCCTACATGTAGTTCTATTTCAGTAAAACTCACAAAAAACATTTATTCAGTTACTCTTAAACAATAAGAATCCCTAGAAGTAGTACATACATGTGATTCATTTCGATCCGAATACTGTAAATTTGTGTGATGTAAATGTTGATATATTTGCTTAATATTTGGCTTCTTCCTATTAGTCGAATCTTGATATTGTTTACAAGATCTTCGAAGATTATACAGTTGATGAACATTTCTAGGAATAAATTGTCGATAATCTGCCGTAAGATTAATACAGCCAACCTTTAACTCTCCAGAAATATTAGATGAATCTGCTGATTCGAAACATTTTTTCTTCATATATTGAAGAGCAGATGGAAGTGTACGCTGATATACTTCACCAAAAGACTTTTTATTACCATGAGGCAATGCAGGAAGAACACAACCATTTTCAATTCGATAAGAAATAAGTGCCAATCCAATAGCCCTTCCATCTCGTTTTATTACCCAACGTACTTTCATTAAACTGCTATCAGGTTGAGCTGTAGGATGAGTTGCATATTTCTTCTCGAGCAAATAAACCGCATTTTCGGCAGTTGCTTTCATTCCACTTTTATCTAATAAATGTTTCTTAGTAGTAGAATGTCTATCTCTCGTATTCCATATACCTATAACTTTTATCACTGAAAAAAAATATAAGTGAATAAAATGATAAAAAATGGAAGATCATCATGGAAAAGAATTACCGCAATTATCAACAAATAAATCACATTCAGGAACAACAGCTGTATCGACCAAAAAAGACACATCGCCAGGAAGATTTATATCTACCAATGGAATCGTTGTAAGGCAACTAAATGGTGCTGGCCTAAATATCGTTTAATCACTTAATAATTCCTTCGAACTTTGAAGTCTATCAGTTCTTATACAACTCATATACCAAAACCATTAATAAACAATAAAAATAAAAGGTCAAACAGATGATAAATCTGTTGAGATAAACAAATAACTCACTTCATTTTCAGGAGAATGTCCAAAGGTACATCCTTAATTTTCGATATGAACCGCTTTTTTAAAGGAACTGTTTCAACTGCAATCGAGCTATGTGAGACCTATAAGAAAATGAATCTTAATAAAATAATATAAAATAACATGAGTAAATTTATAAATTAATGATATATTACACATGAATAAAGCTAAAAACTTAAAAAATATTCTTAAATTTAAAAATGAACCTCGTCAGAATTCATTGGTTCCAAACAGCGACGGCACATTGAACTGACTAATGGAAGAACAGTATGATTTACCTGAATATGCGCAATAAATATTACTTTAAACCATTTAAAAAAGTCTAAAACCTATGAGTGACTTTTACTATATACTTCGCAAAACTGGGAAAGAAGAGATTTGAATGGTTCAGATTATCGTCTCCAGCATCAATGTGCTCCATCCATTCTTGATAAATCTATCACTAAAAAATCCAACCAGATATGATAGCACCAACTATCTTCAATCTTTTTAGGAAATTCTAATGTTCTTAAAATCTTATTTCCAGATCTTGGAACAACGAAAGAACGATAAAATTGCTGAATATATTAGAATTTATTCAACTGGTAAAGCTTCAGACCACATTTCTTAATGATATAGATACTGCCGCAAAGCTTTACACCAACCGATTACTGCGCTACTGGTTGCTATCACAGAAATTTTTGCTAAGAAGTCACTTGGCGATAGAAATACAAATGAATCGGCAACACCACCCGAATTTTTTAATGACAGGCTTACTCTTGTCATGTTCAAGAAATCTAACCTCTTAGACTCGAGTGAAATAATCATAACCGTCGATTAACCCTAATTTACACTATATAATTCACTTCATCGCGATAATATATGAAAGATGCAGATAGAACCAGCACATATTGAACGGTACAACCAAGTAGCGCCAAGAGAAAAATGCACGATATATAATTAAATCCACCTAAAACCAGATGATAGAAAGTTGTGAATAATAGAAACAAGAGCCTGTATGAGTGTTCTCGTTCCAGACAAATGCTATCTAGATTCAGCCAGATATCACCATGATATGACAGTGGATAAGAACCAGAAACAACAGAAGTAGAAATATAATAATATCGAGTGGCATCGAGAAGAAAGAAATTTTATTGATAAATATGATTAATAAAAATTTCTTTTTTCCTTGTTTCTAATCAAATTTTATAGAATTTTAAAAATTATAGAAATAATTAAAACGCGCAAAAAAAATATTGGAAAATTTTTTAAAATAATCAAATTAACCGGTTTTTTATCGTCGAAATTTTGTTCATATTTTGATAAAATAAATCGTCGTGGTGATATAAATGATACAAAACGTTGCCGTTTTTGCTGTTCTCTTTCTTCGTCAATTTCGACACATTCGTCCATTTCTTTATTCTTTTTTTGTAAAAATTTAATTTGTTCTTTTAAATAAATATAAGTTCTTTTCTTAATAAGTATTTTCTTTTCATTTATAATTTCTATTGAATCGCCATTCATTTTTATTAAATAACGAACGATTTGTTGAGTTCAATTCGCGAATATCATTTCTTATCGAAGTCCATTCTTCTTTATCGTTTTCATCAATTTTTTCCAACGATTGAGCTTTTTCGAATAGTTCCGATGGAATTGCGGCGTTGTCGCTAAAAATTCGTTATTTAATGCGATTACTAAAAATTTTTCAATTTTTCAAAAAAATCCAGTGAAATTTTCAGAATGGTAGAGGAATCAAATATAATTTTTAAAGGCCAAATTATTTTATAATTCCCTCATTCAGACCATAGTTACGCACCGTTCCTATAGATCAGCGCCACATAATCGCTTAAGCTCAAACTTGTAATTCCTCAAAGGTGAACAACGCGTAATTCATGGAGGCCAATATCACACAAGCCTCATAAAGATATATCCATGCAAATTCGTCAATCACCGATCGTTCAGTCTTTAAATAAAAAATTTCCAGCCTTATGGCTATTAAAACCTCTATCAAGAACAAAACCTCGTACAACGTTAGTCTAAGCTCCTGAAAAGAACGCAATAATCCAAATGGTGTCGAGATGGCTGCCAACAAGGATCGAGAACGACTCGTATTCGAATCTAGCCGAACCACATTTTGTCGGGTGGAAATGTAAAATAGTGGGTTATTAGACGTATTGGAGCGCCGATGCTGCAGCACTCCCACCAGAAGTAAAGTTATCCCTCAAAAAACAGGATAAAAGGCACTTCGCTAGTGTCCCCTACCTAAATGACATTATGGCACGATTTCTCACCTGAGGACCCAGTCGAATTAAAAAAGATAACGCTTCCTGGATTTGTAATATTCATAATGCAGATCTATATTATGAACCGCGACGCTTCTCTAACGCGTATATTTAATTAGTGCTAATTGTCGTCCGATCTGTCTAAAGTAGAAATCCTTTCACATCGTTGTTTTATTGTATTTACTTAAATTATTTAGTGTTTATTTATTTTTTTTGTTATTAAAAATGAAAATGAATAAAAAAATGAAAAATTTTGTACCAAATTTATATCGTTCACGTTTTGAGGTCAAAGGGCAATGCGACGTGAATTTCCAATCATTCACGTTGGATGACGTAAATAAAAACGAAGTCCTTTTAGCCGTTGTGAAGGATGTGTGTCCTTTCTCCCTCATCCAAATAGCCTTATTCAAATAATTAGTGACCAGACGAGCGACCCTCTTATCTCTCTTATCATTTTTATCACTTCTCTTATTTTATTGATAACTCTTTTTAAAGCTTTAAGTATTCATTATTTTTCAGTAAAAAATTGCAGTTTTCAAAATTACTGAAAAATGGAAATTATCACCGCGGAAATCGAACGTAAAAGGAAACAAATAAAGGATATCGAACATGTTGAGGTTTTTATTTTTCTTTTTTTACCACTTATTTTTTAATTACTTGCAATTTATTTGAAGAAAGAAAAAGGCGGCGGTAGCCTCAAAATATCAAATTTCAGTGCAGAATTATGAGTTGAATCGCTTTGATGCCAACTAAATTATTGTTTTTTGTTTAGTCTCTCCAAATCTCCCACAATTCTTCTCTCCCCTCGCCCCCCCCCCCCATCCCCCTCGCTTCCCATTCTTTTCATCCAGTGCCACTTTCATTACGCTTTTTTTTCTACAGTGGCTTTAGTTATTTTGTAAAGCTGCAGCCGAGTCCAAGAGGACAAAAAAGCATGGAAGAATGTAAGGTATCTGGAAGAGAATAACGAGATAATAACGAATTACATGTTTGAAGATTTCATTTCGTTTTACTGGTCTTTTTACCTGTTTTTGTCAAAAAATGCTTATAAAAATTGTCTGATTTTTCTATATGTATTTCGGTTACATTTTTTTGGTACATTTTTAATAATTCTTAATTTATTTTGTAAAATTTTATAAAAATTTTGCAAAATTGTATGAGCTTTGACCATTTTTACGTAGAAGGCGTTATTGTTTTATTCCCATTTATTGCTTTATTGCATATTCAGATTTATCGAACATTTTGAATTATTTGAAAGTTTTATCTTATTCTTCGAAATATTTACATAATTTTAGCCGTCGGGAATGAAATATATTAAACGAAGTGATTTGAGTGCAAAACAGGAAGAGGAATATTGGAAGCGATATTTATCAAAGTGTCATCGAAATGTTACAATTTTTTTTTGATTCTTTTTATTTTAGTTCATTTTTTTTAAAAATCCCTCTTTATTTTTCAGTTTCATTTTACTTATGTTTTTTTGATTTATTATGTTTTTATTTTTTAAAATAAGTTTAATTTTGCTTAGTTTTTAGTTTAATTTTTATTTATTTAAATTTTAATTTTAATAAATAATTTTTTCAGAAAGAAAGAACAGATTTAAAGACCACTAATGAGGTATTAATATTTAAGGTTTATTGTTATTAATTTATTGATTGTTTAAATTATTTTCTTATATTTTGTCCAATAATAAAATTATATAAAAATTTTTAATGATTTGTTGGAATAAAAAAAAATTTAAATAATTTGCTTTCGATTTAACATTCGAATTAAAATTTTTATGAAGAATTTTCAATCAGTTTTTTTCAGCAGTCTTTAAAAAAATTTGGATATAATTTTAAGAGTATTGATGGAACCATTTCGAAGACAAATTCTAATCAAAAAGAGAATGAATTTGATGTTGATGATATGCCATGGAGTGAAATTGTAAAAAGGCTTAGAGGCCGTAGTCAACCAATTTTATTATTTGGCGAAACTCGGAAGGATTCCCGTTTAAGGCTTCGGAAATTGGAAATTGAACAAGTGAATATCTTATATTTCTATTCTTATGTGCTTTTCATCTTCTATATTTAGTGTTTGAAAATTTTTATAAAATTCATTTTCCAGTTTATGCAAATGATTGTTTTTATTTCAATTTTTCTAGCCTGATATGAAGGAAGGTTGGAAAAATGATTTTCAATCGGCAATGCGAGAGGTTGATCATGAACTCATCGAAGAAGTTATTAAAGGTCAACAAGATAATGCAGGTAGCTACCTTCATTTTTCCTAATATTTCTTGATGTTCGAGATGCTAAAATTTAAAATTTAAAATTTCAGTTTTCCTTTTTTTTAAAGGAAAATTAAAAAATTACATTTAGGACGCCATGATGTTGATATGCCAAACTCAGCTGGTGATACAAGCTGGGAAAGAATTGAGGCAAATGCGCGACTTTTAGGTGAAGGCGAAAATCCAAATCGTGATTGCGATATAATTCGTGAATTCTTTTCATATATTCTTACTCGCTGGGGTAAAGCACTAAATGCTCGAGATGAAGCTACTAAAAGGCATGGTTGTGCTTCCGATTTTTTAAGTTTTTTGCTTATTCATAAATTGAAGTAAAAATAGGAATTTCACTTTTTCAATAATTATCAAAATTATTTATTTATTTTTCCCATATAAGAAGTATTATTTCCTATTATTTTTGATATTGCACTGAAAATTACTTGAAATTTACTTCATATTTACTGTAGGTCAGCAGAAGGAAAACTTGCAGCAACGATGCATAAGCAGACTATGGAACATTTACGCCCTTTGATGTCGAATTTGGAAAAGCATAATGTGAACGCTGATATTAGAGAACATTTGATCAAAATCTGTCGTCTTTTAATTATCGATCGCGATTATATAAGGTACGATTTTTAGATTTTCTTTCAAGTCAGTGTGATAATGAAAGATTTTTTATGTTGATGACTCTGTTTCAAATCCAAATGTGATGGATAAAGCGTGATTTTTTCAAGAAGTACGGGGATTTGATGTCATCTATCATTTTTCAATCAATTTAATAAAATTATAAAATTTAAACCCGCTTGAGAAATTTCATGATTGGGAGGACAGTTTAGTGAATTGGAAGGCAAATTGGTTGTTTTCTTTAAATTTCTATTAGTGGTTTTTTTACGTTTTGATTTATTTGCATCAAATTTTTGTTGCTTTGTGAGGAACTATTTACAAAATTTATTTTAGAGCAAATAATGCCTATATGGAAATGGCAATTGGCAATGCCCCATGGCCTGTTGGTGTCACGCGATCTGGTTTGCATCAAAGACCTGGCTCGGCTAAAGCATATGTTTCCAATATTGCACATGTTCTTAACGATGAAACTCAACGGAAATATATTCAAGCAAGTTTTTTCTCGCGTAGAAAATAATTTTATAATTTGGATTGGGATTTTTTAAATTATTTGGTTATTTAAAAACCAATCAGAAAACAGACTGACAGACTCCTTCGAAATAAAACTGATGTCTGTCAGGTCTGCGTCCTTTCCTTTCCCCTACAATATTCAGCTATGCGAAAGATTGGATAATGGGCATCGCTTGTCAGCACTCAAGAGGTAAGCAGATCAGTCCAGAACATAGCATCATAGACCTTGAATACGCTGATGATTTAGTCCTTTCTGCTTCCGTTACAATGAAATGCAAATAATGTGTCAACAACTGCAGCGAGAATTGAACTCAAAATCAAAGTAAATAAAACGAAAGTGTTTTCGTCGTCTTACCAAGATGCTAATAAAATGCCTATTTTTATCAATTCATTGCCGTTTGAGGAAGTGCTTAACTTTAATACCTTAAATCCACTCTAATCGCAAACGGTGAGGCAAAAAATGTAACCGGGACCCGGAATTGTAACAACAGTTAGAAAATGTTTTCCGATTCATGAAACCCTCTATGAAATCGACGCGAAATAAAGACATAAAGACGAAAATCCACGTCCATATATTTAAGTATATATGGCTATGAAACATGGCCAATGAGAGTGGAAGAAATCATTGGCCATGTCTTGTCTTGTCTAAAATACATTTTACAGATCCGTCGAGTGGGTAAAATCGCACATGATTGCATCCATCTTCGCTCAAATACTGCAAGTATTAATAATATCATCACAGAGCGCGTCTTCGCTGGGCACGTTACGACACGTTCTCCGTCAACCACAAGAATTGACGCATATTTCGCTACTTGCCAACTCTGTGATGGTTGGCGCCAAAAGCGAGGAGGATCAGTCATGACCTGGACTGATATAGTCAGGATTTTGAACATATATGGAGACCAGCGATATATGGACCTAGACGATGGAAAATTGAATGGTTTCTGTTATACTAGCGTCCTAGCTTGAAGGCATCTTATCTTTGTAACCAGCGGAGCCAGCCTAACCATTAATGGTGGGAGCTGTTAGAAGGAGAAAAAAAATTAGGTACTTGCATTATTTAATTCAAAGATTTATTCAGAATTTAATGTGGAATTAGAATTTTATATTTATTCATCCATTAGTAGTTTTAGTAATAAATGAATTTCAGGCATTCAAACGATTGATGACTCGTTGTCAAAAGTATTTTCCAACAGATCCGAGCAAATGTGTTGAATATGTGCGTGATAATGATTGGAACAATTAATATCGGAAATATTTAATTATATTATATTTTAATGTAAATTTTTTCTTTCTTTTCCTGTTTGATTGTCCTACCTTCAATTTTTGTTCAAAATAAGAAAGCGGTGACCATGTAGATTAATCTATCATGAAATCTGTTGATTTTATTTTCCATCATACTTGATTGTATATATGTTTTATACAGTTTGTACAGCTTTATATATTTTTTGTCGAAATATTTTTTTCGATAAAAAATTATTTCTTATTTATATCAAAATTTTAAAGAGTATCAATATGCTTGCTGACTAGCTCACGTTGTTATTTTTCTTGTTCATGATATTATTTTTAGGAACATTTTTTGAAAAATTTAATGAAGCGTGGATGATTGTTGGAAAAATTTCTAGCAAATTTGTTTTTAAGGAAAAATTTTATAAACAATTTGCTAATTTTTTTCAATTATTTAAATTTTTTATTTCTTTTCTTTCGTCAATTGTTGAAAAAAAATGTGGTTGGAAACGATAAGATGGATTTAAAAATCGAGCAATTTAAAGGTTTTTTCAACTTTTAAAATTTTTTCGAAATCAAATTGAAAAATTTTTTGAAGAAAAAATGGAAAATGATGAGGATATTGATGAGGTGCATCTCTGTGCTCCATACAATTATATTCGTAAAATGCCTGGAAAAGGTATTCGAAATCAGATGACGAAGGCATTTAATTTATGGCTGAATATCGATGAACAAATCATGAACAATATATTGAGCATCATTGAACTGCTTCATAACGCTTCGCTCATGTTGGTTAATATTTTCTGTATATCGTGCTCTCATAGTGGGATTTTTTCGATAATTATGGTTAATTATTGTCATACTAATTAGTTTCAGGGTCGATGACATTGAAGATGGTACAGTACTTAGACGGGGTTTGCCCGTCACTCACAGTATTTATGGTGTTCCACGAACAATCAACACTGCTAATTATATGTATTTTGTGGCGTTATCAAAGTGTCTCAAGCTAAATAACTTTGAAGCGGTTGATTTGTTTACACGTAAATTTAATAAAATTTTATATTTATTTTAAACGTTCACTTACCCATTCATTTTTTTACAGTGGTTAGTAGGGTGAAATTTTTCGAAAAAATGTAGATGGAAATTAAAATGGTGACAGCGTCGCCAATTAATAACTGATTAATTAATTACTGATTTTTCTTCATTTTTATTTTTTACTATTGTCTAAATTTATTATTTATGGTATTGAAGAATTCATCAACTGAATAAATCGATGATGGATAATGAAATTTGAATTATATTTCGCGTCTGATGACTGGAAATATCCATCAAAAAATGCCATAAAAATCGGACTGTTTCAAATTCATTGCATTAAATTTGTAGAATTACTGAAAAACTATGAATATGCAGAAATGATTTTTAGATTATATTCAAGAGCTTCACCGAGGACAAGGAAAAGAAATTTATTGGCGCGACACTCCACATTGTCCTACGGAGAAAGAATATGAGAAAATGGTTTTGCAGAGTATTTTTTAATTACCAAAATTTGTTTATTAAATGAATTTTTTGACAGAATTATTTTTCTATCATGGGCCGAGCTTTCGGATTTTTGAATTTTTTGCTTTCGCAGTTTGAGATCTCGTTTTTTTCCTGACGAATCCACACACGCATGTACATTTAGCGCTTTATTATTGTTATATTTTATCGTTTTTATTTCCCAAATAAGTCTTTCGCATTGCTAAATTTAAAAAAAGGCTTTAGGTTTACAATATGTTTTTACCATTTTAAAAAATAATTCTTGCGATATTAATAGGCTGACTGGCTAATAGGCTGATTAATAGGCTAAATTATATGCTTATTTTTTCAGAAACGGGTAGTCTCTTTCATTTGCCTATACGGCTCATGCAATTGTTTAGTGGCAGATCATATGATTTTACTTCGCTTATTCATCATATTTCACTTTACTTTCAAATAAGGTGCGTTTTAATATTTATTTTAGCATTATTTGATTTTAGAGTTGACGAGATCCTCTCGTGCTTCTTGCTTGCAAACAGCTCTTGTCCTAATTACCTAACCAAAAAGCATATTGTAAGAGGAATAATATGTGATGAATTATATTCAATTATTGGAATTATGTCTTTGAACTGTTTGCAGGGACGATTATATCAATTTATGCTCAAAAGAATATGAAGCACAAAAAGGATTCGCTGAAGATCTTACGGAAGGAAAGTTCTCTTTCCTTATAATCGCTGCTGTCAGTAGAGATAATCGTGATGATGAAATTTTAAGTAAGTGATCTATCTAGGAAAAATGTTGAAAATTTAGAGTATTTTTCAATATTTTTATTTTTGCAGAACAAAACGGTTTAGTTTGATTCAACGGTAATTTATATTGAAAGCGTCTTTGTTCTTAAAAAAATTATTTTGCATGCTGCAGTTTACTACTACGACTGAAAATAAATAGCAGCACGGGTAATAAATAGCGCATTAATTCTGACCTTTTGACTTAAACTTGTCATTAAAAGTAAAATCTGAGTGGTTCAGGAACACATATACATTTTTCCCTCTCAGTCAGTGGAGCCAATCAAAATAGAAATGGTATTTGGTAAAAGAAAAAAATTCACTCCAAGCTGGGTCAAAAAATAAAAAGAATATATTGTCTAAGAGTATAAATTTAAGCGCTTTATAAATCACAGGAAAAGAATTTTAATCTCGTTTTCTTCCAGATATTCTAAAACAAAAAACAAATAGTTATGAAGTGAAAAAATACTGCGTCAAATTAATTGAAGAAAGAGGAGCATTTAAGTAATAAATTACGATTTTTCGATGAAAACACGATAAAATGGAAATTGATTTTGGAAAATTTTTTTTATTGATTTAATCATTCAAATTATTTCGAATAATTTCAATAACTTATTTTATTTAAATAAATTAAAATTTTGTATCGGTCGTTTTTTAAGGTATGCACTGGAGCGACTTAAAAGTCTCAAAATCCTAATAGTGAAAGAAATAGATGAACTGGGAGGCAACGAACCACTGCTTCAGATGATCAACAAATTAGATGAAGTGCTACAGGGAAAAAATTAACCACTTTATTGTTATCGTTTTTTAGACAGTGTTATATTATTGTTATTAATACCTGTTTTTAAATGAAATGTTTCGAATAAAATTTTAGCAGAATTTTATCAGAAAAATTCATGAAAAAATGATAATTCACTGAAATCTTTTGAGATTTTATGGTATTCATCGAATGTCCAACCATTTATTTTCGCATAGTTCAAAATTTCATTATTTTTTGTAAAAAAATTATAAAAAAAACTTGTTTACAATAATTACAAAACCAATAGAACCAATTAGCAATTAGCTATTATCATTACAATGCCATTTCAATATGAAATGATAATATGAAATGAAATGGTAATAAATAAATAAGTCCTTCGATCCCTCGAATTTATTACGTTTTAATTTTTAACGTCTTTTAACGTCTTTCACAGATTAAAACTATTAAAATATAGTTTTAATCATTCGAAATATAATAAAAGCATCAATTTACACAACGCTTCTAAATATTAATAAAAATTAATATATAGGTATAAATACAATGTACATAACTGATAGCTTTTCAACTCAGTAAAATTTTAAAGCATTGTTACTATCACTTTTCCAAATACTTTGTCTTCAACAATTTCCTTGATGCAATCATTTATCTGCAAACGTTATATATTAGGATATATTCCTCGTTTAGCACATTTTTGTTCAATCTTACTGTAATCATTCCATCTCAAAGTTTAATAATAATAAGTTTAACAATAAACAAAAAATAAGGTGGAATACATATTATAAGGAGAGAAATAGATAGAAGGGCTTACTTGATCCAAAGAATACCTTTTCCCTATACGCACATTTAAAAATCCTTCTTCAAAAAATCCAATTAGCGAATCAACAATAGCCTTGATTTCTTTGCGATGACATCCTCCCAACCACATACCTATGAATAAAATTTCATTAAACCTGTGATCCTTTTTAATTTTAAAAGAGGTCAGAGACAACAGGGTTTTTTCCCGAACCTTTCATTCAACAAAAATAGAAAAATGGTACCTGAAACAGAAGCTTGTAAGCGGTGTAGATCTAACAGATTTAATGACGGAATAACGCCTGATGAAAATCCTAAGCTGACAATATGGCCACCAGTTCTTAAACTATAAAAATATTTTTATGAATTTTTCGTAATCGATGATTTCTATCTCCCTTAAGTAAAAAGATGAATGTAAAGATGAAAAATAAAAATAAAAACTACCAATTTAAAGATTGTTCAAATACGCTACCGCCAACTGTATCAATAATTAAATCAACACCTTGGCCCATAGTCATTTTCTTCACATTTCGAGCCAACTGTCCATCCGTATAATTAAATAATGATATGACGCCTGTTTCTCGCAATTTCCCTAGTTTTTCTTCTGAATCACTAGCAGCAAATACCTGAATAATTAATAAATAATAAAAAATAATAAAAGAAAATAATAAATAGTAAAATCAAATCTCATTTTGCATTGCAACACAAAATTGCAAAAAAAAATAAAACTTATATTGTAATAATAAGATTTATTTGACTATCGCTCATCATTTCTGGTCAGATTCACTCTTCTGATTACTAATACGATGAAACATTATGAAACTTCACATTACTCACCATTCATGAAGAAATTTGGAGAAATAAATAAAGAAATAAAAAAAAGGCCTCCAGAATCACTTGTATTTTTTAGATTTATTTTTGTCAATACAAAACCAGAGCTTTGATGCTCCAGAAGATAAACTAGATCACTTGGCTATCCTTTTTTCTAATTAATTTCAGTATTACTTTCAAAAAATATATTGATTTATACTTTTGCTTTGAAAATATTCTGTGCAAGGTCCACTGCAGCAAATCCAGTTGTTCCTTTGCTTGATAGCACTAATAACGAACTTCTAGAAAAAAAAATCATAATGAAAAAATTTGAAATATGAAGCAAATAATATCACGCAATATATGTATATGCAAAATATGCGTTATTCATTAACCGTCATGCATAAGTACTACATCATCATCATCATCATCATCATCATCATTACAACGACATACGATGATGACGACGCGAAGACGACCCATGCATCATTTTATCATCGAAAAATAAATGGTAAAACAGAGAAAATCGGAGAAACCCTTGTCGTTCGAAAGCCATTTTCTGAAGAGCAGTATAGGCACTTCCATAACTAACTGCAATAGCTGCAGCAGACTCGCAATCCATCGAATAAGGTATATGAAAAACCAGATCATTTTCTTTAACACAGCATTCTTCAGCAAACGCTCCCCTATCAGTAGTTTTGATAATTACCACTCGATCACCTTCCTTAAATTCTTCTACTCCTTTACCAACTTCTTTTATAGTTCCTGCTCCTTCGAAGCCTTGAATTTCATCAGCATAAGAAAAGAAAGATGGTTAATTAGCATCTGCATAAGATTCGAAAGTGAAAAAAAAAGTTTGTCTAAAGAATTTTTAAAAAGAAAAAAAAGTGGGAAGAAAAAAATAAACTGATAAAAGGATAATGAGTGGTTTGCCTAGCTCCACTAGTTACTTGGCTAACCATTGAGATGAAGCGTTAGAGTTCAATGAATATGTTATCCCATCCCAAGTATATGACATATTATGTAATAGTACAAAATAGTGTCATCATTTTTTCTCTGTTTTAACCTATTCAATTTCACTGATAGATAATATATATTAAGATTTTGAGACTTTCTGAACGTCTTTATTTGATTGAATCGCGCAGAGACTTTTGCTTCCAATCCCTTCCAGTGTATTTTACGTTTGGCTTAATAAATGTATGATTTATTCCAAAATAATTGTTATTGTAAGATTTTCAGCCGTCAGTTTGGTGCAAATAGATTATGGCTTTTAACATTACAAAATGTTTCTGTAATCTGAATTCGTTATTGCTGCGTTGAAAAAATAAGAAAACCTGGAACGAATGGTAAAGTTGGCTTCAAATAGTAATTTCCTTTTATCATTTCAATATCCGAGTAATTTAGCGCTGCTGCTTCCATCCTGACAATCATCTCACCATCGTGCGCACTCATTTCCTTCTTATCAGTAATCACTAATGGTTCATTGAATTTCGATAATAACGCTGCTCTATAGCCTCGTTGGAGATTTCTTTCGAGTCGCCTAAAGCAATTCGCCGACGATACGATAAAACGACTAAACATTGCATTTGATATATTCTACAAAAGCGAATAAATTGAACACTAAATTTAAAATGAAATGTTACGACGGATGACGGAATAGGAAAGAAGGCAAAAGACGAAAGACGTCAATGACATAATTCTTCGTTAGATCGAAGAAACATATTTTTCAAGCAACAACTTTCATGTAAACAAAGGCTCAGAGAGAAAAATTACCTATATTCATAAGGGGAATGTGTTTGACCTACAATAAATATTGACGCCGCTTGTACTGGTTAGTAATCTCGATGCTAAACCAAATTTAAGAAATTTGGTTAATAATAAATTAAATTTATATAATAATAAATAAAGTAAATAATGAATTAAAAGTTAGTAATTATAAACTTCATATCTTTTTTTCATATCTGTTACCGTTCCCATTTGCAATTTAATGAAAAAAGGCCAAATTTGAAGGCTGGGCAAGATCTGAAAGTATAGAGAAACTTGGAAACAGAGTCTTGAAACAAAGTTTGGCAGTGGAGTCAACTCTGGAAGTCAGGCGAAATCTGAAAGTGAGGTTAAGTCTGGAGGCGAGATCGAGCCTGGAAGCGAGGTCAGGCCTGGCAGTGGAGTCAGCTCTGGAAGTCAGGCGAAATCTGAAAGTGAGGTTAAGTCTGGAAGCGAGGTCAGGCCTGGCAGTGGAGTCAACTCTGAAAGTCAGGCGAAGTATGAAAGTGAGGTTAAGTCTGGAGGCGAAATCGAGCCTGGAAGCGAGAAATCTGAAAGTGAGGTTAAGTCTGGAAACGAGGTCAGGCCTGGAAGCGAGGTCAGGCCTGGTAGTGGAGTCAGCTCTGGAAGTCAGGCGAAATCTGAAAGTGAGGTTAAATCTGGAAACGAGGTCAGGCCTGGCAGTGGAGTCAGCTATGGAAGTCAGGCGAAGTATGAAAGTGAGGTTAAGTCTGGAAGCGAGATCGAGCCTGGAAGCGAGAAATCTGAAAGTGAGGTTAAGTCTGGAAACGAGGTCAGGCCTGGAAGCGAGGTCAGGCCTGGTAGTGGAGTCAACTCTGAAAGTCAGGCGAAGTATGAAAGTGAGGTTAAGTCTGGAGGCGAGATCGAGCCTGGCAGCGAGGTCAATCGTACTGAGAAAATATCCTCCAATTAAAATCGCCTCGGAAACAAATTTTGTGCAAAAAAAGTTTTATTTTAAAGTTGGAATTCTTTTAAAAGATTCTTCCTTTCCTTAAATTCAAATCGCCGAGAAAAAATTATCCTTAAAAAGAAATTCAAAAAATGAAGAAATTGAAAATCGTTGGGTCACCAAGAGGCCGATTATTAGCGATTATGTATTGTATCTTGAACGGAAAACAAGATTACGATAGTTTACCAACTTTTTACTTATTTATTGTGGTTAACCTGGCAATGGTGTCACAGGCGATTTGGTATGCCGTTCGTTTATTACCGTTGTTTATAATATGGGTTGGATTTGTTCGAAATTGGTTTTCGACTTTCGTATCATCGACGGATTCTTTTAATGATTTTGTCTTACATGTAAATGTTTTTTTATATTATCGAATGTCAAAGGTCAAAATACGGCTTTAATTTTCGGGTGGTAATGTTTTTTAAAAGGGTCAAAGGTCGAAAAATGATTATTATTTATTATTGTTAAAATTATTAATATTATTATTAATATTTATTTCAGATTCCAGTCTACGCCTTATTTCTATTTTTGGTAAGTTTGAATAAATATTTAAATGAATAAATATTGGTAAGTTTAAATATTTTCAAAGGATTCTAAATTAAATTACATCGTTTTTTCCTAATTAAATAAAAAAAATTAATTTTTGAAATTTATTTTCTCCCTCGTTGAATTTTGTAATTTTCTACTTCTGCATTTCCCTTTTTTTTTCTAATTGCTATTCACCATTTCTGATTATTTCTACTTGTTTATTGGTTTGTTGAAGCCAATAAATTTTGTAAACGAACTTAAACCTGGCGACGAATAAGTCGCTAACAGGTCGCTAGAATTTTTGAAAGGCAGATTTAGTCAATAGTTTTTAGAAAATCTTAATTTATTTTTCAAAGCAGTTCGTTTATTACTCTTCGTTTTTTCATTTTTTATTAAATTTTTTGCTAAACTAACGATCTAAGAAAATTTTGCTACGAAAATTTAGCATTGTAATTCTATAGTGAAACTTTTTATTACTATGATTCATATAGTAACGTTTTAAGATATGTTTATATTTTAAATTATTTGTGTTATTCATTATTTATTGCATTAGTATTATATTATTACATTGTTATTATATTATTATTATTATTGCTGTTATTATAATATAATATTATTACTAATTAATTATTATTTTATTACTTATTATTTACTTTTATTTATTATTATTGTTTATTATCATTTATTATTATTATTACTATTGTTATTGTTATATTTGTAGATATATGCAATATGCAGTGTACTTTATGGTGTTGCAACATTTAATGATTGTTCATATGCTCGACGTGAATTAATAGAAGAAATCGAGGAAGCGAAAAGGGATTTACGCGAACGAAAAATTATATAATGTAATAAAATAAATGAAACAAAAATATTTTGTTGGAGTTTTTGATAATTTCCGAAAATTGATAACTTTTAATTTCTTAGAATTTCGCAATTTTTGTAAAGGAAATTTTTCGTGTTTTTCGTTTTGAATATTTTTTTAAAGTCCTTCACTTAGCCTTCTTTTCGAAAAGTAAACAAAAATACTGTATATACAGAATAGGGCCGGTTTTTCTTTTTTTGCACAAAATTTAATTAGTCATTTTATCAACTTTATCAGTGTTTTATACAATTTTGTATTTATATATTGTAGATCGCGATTTAAAAAATTATGAAATAATGAAATTATGGAATGCTAAGCAGATATTTATCTTTTGATAGATTTTCGTTAAAGGATTTGGATCGTTTCTCGATTTCCGTTTTAATAATTAAAGCATTTTGGGAATATATTTGAAGAAGTAAATTTTTTCGCTTTTTTATTTGTTTTATCGTTATTAAATATTTTCTTAATTTTTATTTGCTCACATTCAAAAACGTTTTGTCTTTCATTTATATGAATCATTTTTATACAAAAGTTTTGGCATATAAATAAAACGCATTTTTTGAAATTTGAAGAAGCAAAAATTTTTTTTTTTCAGATATTATTTCCCCCAAAAAATTGAACTTTTTTTGGAACTTTTGACTGATTTAGAAAAATATTTGTATTAAAATATTTCTCAGTGAAATTCTTCCATAAAAGAAGACAAAACGATTCAAAAATAGTTGAAACTGGCTATAGAGAAAAAATTTTTAAAATAAACAACTATAAAGAACTGCCATAAAGTAGCAAAGTAGCAAAAACATTTTATTTGTAAGCAAAGTACAAATATATTTGAGCACAAATTTCAACCTTCGATTACAAATTTTTAACAAATTTTCACAAATTGTTTGATTTATAAATTTTAAAATTTACATGTGGCGAGTATTTTAAATAAATTTGCATCCGAAAAATTATGAATGATCGAAGGGTGAGATTCTATAAAATCGTTTCGATATATTGAGGAGAGGAGAGAAATATGCTAAAATCGTTAAGTATTTATCTAGGCAGTGCTATGTGGCATTAGAGAAAAAACGATGATAACACTTTCCTGAATGTTTCAGTTCGGTTCAAATTAAAAATATGAAAATTTTCATTTACTTAATACGACAAATATTATTCTGAAATTTCAAAGGCGAAAAAATCAATAGAGTCTTATCATATCATATCACTGAGCAATATAAAAAAGTAGTTTTAATTTTATGGATAAGTAACTTTTTCGCCTTCACATTAGTGAAAATATAGAAAATCTTAATAAATCTATGGCGAATCATTTCTCATTGTTTATTTTTGTGATACCATGCAACAAACAGTACCATTATCACATGGTTGATAACCAGTTGGACAATAACATTGCATTTGTTGCGTTGTTTGACAAGGAACTTTAGGAACTGATTTTGGGCAATTCTGTTGACAAAGTGCTTGACAAGCCGATTGACACTGAGCTGAAGGTAATGCTGGTAAGCACTGCTGATTGCATGAACCTTGACAAAGATCTTTACATTGTGGTGATAAGATTGTTGAAGCTTGCAACGTCACTGCAATCGCCTGCAATTTTTTTACTTATTACACGTAAATAATCTCGCAATCTCAATTTCAAAAATGGGCAAAAGATACCTGCTGTGAAGGTCGCTTGGAAAATGGGGATAGTGGTCCAAACTGATTGCCATGACAGTTGATCTGACAGTTTTGTTGACATGGTAATGGGCAAGGTCCACTTGGTTCATTGCATGGCGAGCACTGTGGATTACAATCAGGGATGCATGGAGGATATGGAGGATAAGGACCAGGTGGAGGATAAGGACCAGGTGGAGGATAAGGACCAGGCGGAGGATAAGGGCCAGGTGGAGGATAAGGTGGAAATTGGCAGTTATCAAAGCATAGACTGTAGCACCGAGCCTGACACATATTTTCTGGCAAATAAGGAAGACATGATTGAGTGCATAACTGCATACATTGTGGTGTGCACCGCTGTATGACTGGAATCGGATTCGGTGGTGATGGGCATATCTGTTGACAATCCTGATTACAACCTGGATAGCACTGATCGTTGTACATTTGTCCGCAGGTCATTTGACACTGTTGCATGCAACGCGATAAGCACCACTGAGGTACTGGAACTGGATAATATGGTGGTTGTGGTTGTGGATTAATTGGACCACACGGTGCAAAACAAGCCTGTTGGCATGCCTGTTGGCAAGCTGCATATGGCATATATGACAAACATTGTTGCATACATGTCTGCTGACAAATCGTTGGGCACTGGTTTGTACAACCACATTCTTCTATTTGTGGACAGGAGCATGACATAGACTGTGGATAAATTCCCGGATTACAGTTGCATTGACCCGGAACATTCGGTTGAAACTGATCGCATCCACATTGGCGCTTACCTCGGACTTTCACATCCTTAATATAAGGATTTTCAAATGAACTTGATTATGGAAAAAGGTGACCAACAAGTTCATTCCGGACAAATCATCCGGAATTCGATTAAATCTACAGATTAATGGTGACTGCATTCATTTTTAGTTACTAAAAAAGCTGTATCAAAATAAATATTAATAAATATAAGCTAATAAAATTAAATAGCAAATATAAAATAGTTATCAAATACTATTTTATTATTGTTTGAAATTTGTTCCTTAGAAAATTTATTCGAAAAAAGTATCATTTAAAAGGGAATCAAGAGATAGGTCAAATGTCATTTAGAAAAAAACGACTTACTGATGAAGCGCGAATAAAATTAAGAATAAGTTGAAAAGCGAAAAATAAAATTATTTGGCGAGTCGAAATTGCAAGTTGCATAAATGCTACGAGTATGACTTGCTAAATATCGTTAAAACTAGACTTAAATTAGCTTAAATACCACAAAACTAAAGAATGTCCAGTTTTATTGTTTCACTAAAGACTAATCTAACAAAAGAAAATGACCAGTCTTTTATAAAACTTAGCGTAATATGCTTCGAAACCTATGTGTTTACTAACAACAAAACTACCACCGATGGAATTTTTCAATCTTCTTGAGATTTTTCATTTTCAAAAATTTAGTAAACATCATCGAACTCTCTCCACCTTCGCGATTATCTCCACCTCAGCTAGCATTTTTATTATTTTCATAAATAAACTATTATATAAAAAATTTTAATTCACTCGAATAATTTATTTCTTAAAGAATTTCTATAGATTTTTTTTTTCTAAATTTATTAAATTCAAAGAAAATAATAATATATTTGATGAAATTTCAACTTTATAAAAATTCGTGAAATTTAGAAATTTTAAAAAATCAAATTTCTATTATTTATGAAATATTAAACTTAATAAATAATCGAAACATTAAACTTGAATATATATTAAAATATTAAATATTAAACTTAAATATTGATAAAATATACAACTTTTAAAATATTTATTTTGAAAAAGTATTGTTAAGTAGTAAAAAAGAATTGCAATAAGCAATTCTAAATAATTTTATTAATTTTATAGAAATTTAACTCTCAAAAAAACATGAAAGATGCAAAATTAGATTCAATACAGTGTTCTGGAATAAGAAAGAAATAATTTATCAAATCAGATAAGCGATTCCAAAGCTAAGACCATTTTTAGAACATTGTAGAACACTACAGTAATTCATTCTTGAATAATAATTTTAAACTAGCAACAGTTCATGGCACTGCGGAAATCTACTAGCGTTAATTACACTGCTCTACATTGCTTCTTTTCATCTGTAGACAGGGTAATCGAATTGGTTTTCGCCCCTGATTACTGCCTTAGGCATAAGACTTCAGGTTTTAATCTCTGAGAGGAATACGCTTATCATTGAAAATTCGGATGACTCATCTATGTTTTCATTCTTGAGGGAAGCAATTTGTGATTTCTTATCAAATTAACAATTAATGAAATTTAATAACATTGCTGAGTATTTTTTCGACTTATTTCATTTTGTTTATTTATTTCTAAAGCAATGTTTTTTTTTTTAATTTTTATTCATCAGATGGCAAATATATTTGAAAAAATTGAAATATTCTTCATTCGAATGACAAACAAAAAGGACAATTTTTTAAAATTTTATAGAAAATGTTGCAAATGCTAAAATACTAAAATTTATAAGTTATAAGTAAGTAAGTAAACAAGAAAAAAGAAAAAAGTTAAACGAGCAGAGCAGATGAGAGAGAACGGCGGCGATATTATCACGACGCAGATTATTTTTTTAGTGATTAAAGTAGATAAGATGAAGTAAATAAATAAATAAATATTTATAATATTAAAGTGATTTTGTGAGAGTTCGAGTGAAAATCAATCCGATTAGTCATTTTAAACAAAGAAAACTTTAATTCATTAGAAGATAATAAAATTCGTAAATTTTAATCTGTAATCCGCAAAATTTGGAAATTAGTAAGTCTTTAAGAAATTTTACCTAAAAACGATAGGTTATTTACCCATTTGAGTTTGGTGAGAAGCTTAAAGGCTAATCAGTACCTTATCTCATTATCAGTGACGTATGATCAAATTACCCAACGTTATCGCACATCATTTTCATTTAAAGCCGCAATTTGCTTAAAATTACTTATTTAAGTAACGCGATAATTAATGCAGCTAAAACTTTTGTCAATATTGCGTACTGTATTTCCTTAGGTTTTTCTTCTTTCTCTTCAAACAATTCGAAGCATAACTGGTTTGATTAATTCCACCGGTTACAAAGTTTCCGAGCTTTCCAATGTGACGCCATCAGTAATAAAAACCACTCTCTTTTCCAGTCTGATACCATATATCGTGACTAAGCACTCAAAATCTCGTTTAGCACTATCAATTCAAATTTTCTCTTGTGCCTCCTCTCTTTCGACGGAAAGCAAACAGCGAGACAGATGATAGATCGTAAGGAAATTGCGTAGGTGATGTAACAATATTACAGTATTTTTTAACACAGTTGGTGTTCGAACAAAGTAATGTGCAACGATGTGCGGTTCTATCCGCCCTGTGGGCGCGTTTTATATGCTTAGGCGGGTAATAAGATAGCTTCCTGATCTTCCTGATATCTTCAATTCTCACAGGTCATATTTATAATATAATTACAAATATCGAAGCTTCACATTCACATTGATAATGCGAAAATTGATTCCCGCAAAGGTTTTGCCAGGTGGGAGAAATTCCTTGTTTGGTTATCCGATCTGAAATTGCATGCAGTCATTAAAAGTGGACATAAGAGTGGATTTAAGGCATTTCACTTATTCAACTGGTGATTAATTAATAAAAATGTACATATTATTTTTTCAAAAATATACAATATACGTTTGCTGCGTAAGATGAGATTTTCTTCGTATTTATACTGATAAAGGATGCAGCGCACATTTATTGATACAGTTTCGAGTATTCTGAGGAATTTCGCATAAATTTCGTTCAGCAAAAAAGGGATATCCAAGATCTGTGATAAGTATGCTCTGAACTGTCTTATCCCCTACTTAGATTTCAAACATTTTTATTTGAACAAAAATTAATAATTTATAATTTATGAATACTGATAAATTAACAATTTATCAGCATTTTAAAAATCTTCCTTTCTCACTGTAACGTTGAATAGTTGTATATTGATAAGAAGATTGTTATCGCAATCAAATACTTTTTTGAAAAAAATTATAATTTTAAAAAATAATCATTATCACTATTTAAGATTGTTCGTTATTAGAATAATTACGAGAAAATTCAAAATTCTTTATAAATTCAACTCAGCGGTGTACTTCGAATTCCATGCATGAATAGTATCGCAAAAAAAAGCATGAAAAATTATGATGAAATCGAAATTTAATTAACTATTCGTTTATACGTATGAAAATATGATCATCTTTCATTCAATAAATGTTTACACATCAATTTTTTTCAATATTTATAAAAATTCTTTGGGAAAAAAAATGAAATAAATTTTGATGAATTTTATGAATTTACTATGAAAAAAACTCAAATAACCTTCTTAATAGCTGGCAAAAACTATTCATTTTCATTTTCATATTAAAATATAATTAATAAAAATCAATCTAAAAAAAATGATTTTAAATTTTCGAAAGATTTTGAAAATTCTTATAATTGAACAATAAAATTAATGAATTTAATGAATTAATGAATTTTACTAATTTTTTTTCTAAAATTTTCAAATGGGTTTATCGCATTCCGCTCGCTCGCATGGTTCTCTGCTCTTTTGAGTGAAATGAGCCATTTAATTCGCTAATATGTCGAGTTTATTGTCTTTCCATTTAATTTTTTCCCGAAATTTATATATTTTTCAAACTATATATTTTATATATTTGAATTTTTATTGAAAATCCATTCATCACTAAATTTCATTGATGAATTACGACTACACGCTGTTTTCTCTTTCTCTTCTGTTGAATTCTCTTTTCCTCGACATAGAATGCTGAAAGTAGACGCGATTCCCATACTGGAAATTGAATTCGAAGCGCAAAAGGTAAATCCTCCCTGTCGGACCCAATTTACGACCCCTTTTGCTTTCGCCGTTCAGCGACAGTTTTTGCTCAAATGAAAAGTAAACCGCATCGTACAAATGAAGGTCTCAAGACGATTTTCTGTCTACGGTGATTTTGATTTTTTTAAGAATGGTGTGCTTATAGGGATTCTGGGGATTTGTTTACCTTATGTGTTGTTTTTCTAGTCAGTTGATTTGTATCACTTTTCTTTCAGCTCTTTCTTATCACTATTTTTCATTCAATAATATTATCACTTCTTATGTGGTTTCACTTTAATTGGTGGAATGTTTGTATTCACTTTTGCTCTCCTTGGTCGGTTGTCTTAAATCCTGGGAATTGCAAAACGACTGATCTTCACTTTCGTTCACCTTGTGCACCTTCGTTCAATTACGTTAGATATACACATATGTACACATAAATATTCAAAGCCGTGCTATTACTTGGACTTTCAAATTTTATTTAAAATTTCATTTGCAATTTTTTTTTATGTTAAGCGGTGTTAGCAGTGATAAGTGAGCAGTGATGAGTGATCAATTTGAATAGATCTGCATTTAGCAAAAAATGCGAAAATACTACGGAAATTTTGCTTAAATTACAAACATATTTTTTATCAAATTTGTCGAATGTATTTATATTTTTGCAAGGAAACGAAGGAAATATTATTTTTAATATTTGCGATGCTTTGTTTATTTTATTTTATTTAATTTTATGCGTTTCTTTCGTTTCGTTTGTTTTCAACATTTATTTATATTTTTTATTGCCATAACTTCAATTAAATAAAATAATAATCGTCAATTGTTTATTTTTATCGATTTGACTTCATTAATTAATGTATTTAATTGTTATATTTAATTATTATTATATTATTAATTATTATAAAATATGCAATCATTATATTATATTAATTAATTTTAATATTAATATTAATTTTATTTCGGTGTTTTTTCAAATTGATTAATTGATATTGAATTGATGATATTCGTTATATTATGTTATATGAAATTTTAGCTCATCGTTCTTCGATGAGGATTGATGAGGATTTATTAATTGTAATGATAATTAGTAATAATAATTTCAGATGGATTTGGAAAAAGTGGAAAAGTTGAAATCGATGGCAAATGAGTGGTCCCTTGAAAAAGACAACGAGGTTTTTTTTATGAATTTAGTAAAGAAAATATCGTTGCTAGTAAATTAGCTCAATTTTTCACCAGTTTTGAGACAAATTATTGTAAATTTCATATGTGGAATCGTTGTTATTAATAAAACCTTATGTTTATTATTAATAAAAAGTAAGATATTTAATTATCATTATTTATTTTTTATCGATTGAGCTTTTATTATATTTCTTTTTATTTAATAAAAATATATCATTGTGTAATTTATAATTTGTCTCGCTGCCCTAAGCTGTCCAGCTAAGGCAAATTTTACCAAGGACTTTTGTCGTTTGGCTGTAAAAGATTATAGGTTAATATATTAATCGCCAATGATTCGCGGATTTTTAAAAAGAATCGGCATTCCGAAGTTGACAGCAATAATCCATTGAGCTATTAAGTAACGCTGTTGTTTCTTCATCAGTTAATTATTATTAATTAGTTCAAAATAATTTTTGTAATTTTATTTTGAGCATTATTTTAGCTTTGCAAAATTCTTGAAGAATTGCATTGTTCGATGAAATCAAATATGGAATGTATTAAAAATGAGCTCAATCAAAGCAAAAAATCAGTATCTTGTGTATCAGTTCGCCTTGCTAATCTTAATAATCGTCTAACCTCGCTTTCTTCAAATCAGTTCATTGAAAATGTTAGTTTATTTAAAATTAGATTCATTAAAATTTGCGATTCTTAAGGTTCTTTCCTTCATTCTATGTTATTGTGAAAAAGTGGGTGGAAAAAAATTATAAAATAAATCAGTGCTTCTCGTTTTTAAAGGTTTCTGATCTGATGTATACAATTAATAATTTAATTGTTGTCCGACTTGTTAGCCAAATTTTTTGCTAGATTAATTGAGGTCAATTCTTAAAATATTTTAGCGAGTTCTTGATGACGATTATGTCGATGATACATGGATTTCAAAGCATAAAGAGAAAGATGAAACCATTAAGGTGGTAATAATGTCATTTGCATTTTATTTATATATTTTGGAGATTGTTTCCTATTTTTTAAATATTATTTTATTTTTTATGTATAGCATCGATATCATATTTTTTATCGTTTTCTGTATTTTTTTGTATTTTTATTTTTTATTTTCTATTATTTGTTTTGCTTATTTTTGTTAATGTCTTTTACCTTTTTTTAGCCAGAAAATGAGAAACATGAAGAGATGGTAAAAATTATACATGAAGCTGTTGTTGCTGGTATTGATTTAATCAATAAACGGTTCAAAAAAATCGAAATGAAGCCAGAAGATTTCGATGAAGATGACGATCCAACGTTTTTGCCCGATGCTGTCTTTGAACCTTATGTAAATTCAAATTATTTCTTGCATTTTTAAAATTTTAATTTTCTTTTTTATTGTTTTATGTAAATTCCATTTAAATTTCTTGCCCTGAAGGTTTACATCTTATTAAATTTTATCAATATTTATTCTATCCATTATTTATTGTTTTCAGGATCCACATCTTAATCGACCATTACCGTTCATAATAGGAAGCGATGAATGGAAGAAATCTCCTACTGCTGGTTTGAAAGATATGCCTGCTAGTACGAAGGTTGTGCTTTTTTATCATTTTTTAAAATCAGATATCAAGTTTGAAATTATAAAATATTATTCTTCTGGTCTATTATTTCACACATCATGCTTTATTTTCACTTTTATTTTAATAGCCTCTCCAAAAGTGCTTAAATTTTAGGAATTTATTATAGGAATAGGAATTTTCCTCTTTTTCGATAATTCGGTTTAATTGTTTTTGGTAATTTTAACTTTCCGACATATTTAATTTTTTATTTTTTACTCTCTACATTGGTGAATTATGAGTTTAAAAACAGCCATTTAATAAGAGCTATATTATGTTATGTTCAATTTTTTGCTTATTCAATTCTTTTTATTTATAGTCCGAGGACGATGTTGTGGTAATAGGATTGCCAACTTTTGTACAGCCTCGACTTAATGATGCCATCTGTGAAACATTTGCGAGCAGCACGACTGAAGATATCACTAGGTAATAACCGCAGATTATCATTAGAAAGTTTAAAATTTAGAAATTACTAATTTTTCCGCAAAATTTTGGAATAGTTTCATTAAATAGTGAAAAAATTTTGATTTTCTTATCCATTTTTCATATTTTCTTATTGTTTTATTAGAAATGATTATATCATTTTATTATTTATTCATTTATAGAGATAAAACCAATAAAGCAGATACCAATGTTTCACGCAGTGTTAGTTCTCTACAGTCAGATCCCAGTGGACTTTTTTTGAATGGTAGTCCTGATCGCCATAGCGTTATCAGTGATGATCTTTCATTTAAAGAATCTGAAGTTCGCTATTTGGTTGAAATTTTAATTGAACTTGATTTAAAAAAAAAATAATCTTAATATTATTATATTAAAATAAAATAATCATTTTTCATGTCATTTTGATTTTATTATTGCATTGAAATAATTTTATAGGAAACGAAGATTATTGGTGACAAGAAGAACGAAAATGTTCAGGAAATAGCGAATAGTAAATTAAAAAATAGTTTAGAACGGATAAATGACCCACCACATTCACTTATTTCTTCCAATATGTTTACATCAAGTAAATTTAAATATTAATTTTTGCGCATATTTTTTTTTTCTTTCAAGATCTTACATCTAACACTATTTGAAATATTGAAGCTGCCATATATCATGGTGATGTATTGATGCATAGCAAGATAATTGCCACCGAGAAAGGCCGATGTAGCATACTTCATGGAGAGTAGAATGGTTTAGTTGGTTGTTGCCCAATCCGGAATGCCGATATTGAGGTTCTTCGGCGGAAGTAAACCTGTCGATAAATACGAGTAATTTTAACGAATCACCTGTATTTCTATCGCCTAAGGGACTCCCTGGCACATTTCCGACAAGCCAGCTGAATGATTGTGACTAGCAATCTTGAGTATTATAAAAAATTTCAATTATTTTACTATGGAATAATCTTGCTACGAAAAGTAAGGTGAATTTCTTATCGTTTTACATCGAATCACATTTATTTAGATCCGAAACAAAATTCTTTGATGAATGAGGTTATTTCAGCCGTGAAAAATCGCTCATCTCAGGTTATTTTGGTTTTCAAGAATTTTTCTTTTCTTTTGACTTGACTTGACTTTTCTTTGATTTGAAAATAATGTCCGTCATTTTCAGCGAAAACTTTTCGAAAACTTTTCTGAAAATTTCCTCCATTTGTTGTTTATCTTTCATTTACAGGCTAAAAAAGTCCACCACACGACCAAAAATATCTTCACTGATTCTGATTCCGCTGAATCTGATTCGGATTCTGATCTTTTTATAACAAAACCAGTAAAAGATCAAAATATACCTAAAGTGAAATCGATTTTCGAGGGAGAACATACAACATCTGGTATTCCTTATACCGTGGGGCCACTTCCAACAAAAGAAAAACAAGAAAGTAAATATCAACTACCGTATAATGATTCGAAAGAAGAGGTTTTGTTGCTTATTCCATTTTTTAATGAAATTATAAGGATTTATTGTAGTTCTTAACGAGTTCATTTCAGGATAATGGCCCTAATATTCCGAATGATATATTATGCGAGAATTCCAGCAAGATTCGTGGTCCAGATGCTGAGGTACTTTTTTCCTTTTTGCGATGCTTTTCTCTATTTCGCTTTTTTTCGCTATTTCTCGCTATTTTTCGCTCTTTTTTCTTTTTTGCTATTTTCGCTATTTTAAAACTAGCTTTAAAGAGGAATATCAAAAAACATGAAGCTTGTAAATTTTTTCCGTAATTTAAGTTTTTTTTAGTCCATATAATAATTTTCAAACCATATTATAAATAGGTTCAGTGCCAGCAGGTTTTGGAAGCGAGAATTCATAGTGTTCAGAGCAAAGTTTCTCAAGATTTTGCTCACAAATTATCTAACATTATTGCTGCTACGAAGGTAAATTTTGATTTTAATTTTTAAAATTCTGTCTGTTATTCCAGTTTGATTTGTTTCTTAGAAACATTTAAAATTATATTGTAATTTTCAGAGTCCTTCACCTTTATCTTCTAAAAAATTTCTGCATGAATCCGAACCTGTTCCTGAAACAATTCCTTCTATAGTCAAGGTATTTTTTTCCGCAAAGTTTTCTTCGATTTTAGGTTTTTAGGCTCTGCACTTTTCATATATAATGTACAAATTTTTTAATTTTTAGACTCGATCAAAGGGTCCTGCACGTCGCGCTCCTACAAGATCCATATTTGGTTCAAATGAAAATCCATTTGATACTGTCAAGAATTCAAATATTTTGTCCTCACCAACTCAACAAGCTGCGTCAATACAGGAAACTATAGAAGAGCGGACTTCCATTGTTGGAGATAAGAATACGAATAGCGAAGAATCAATTTCTTCAAAAAACAAAGATGAAGATCTTCATAAACGCGATTCTTTTTTTGCTTCTCAAAAACAAATTTCACTGTTTTCTTCGGATTCGGATGATGACATTTTCGCCAGTACTTCTAAAAAATCTTATGGAGATGATAAAATCCCGAAGATAAAAGAAGCTTCGAATCGTGAGTTGAACTTTGAAAAGCCTGTATCAATGACTACTTCTGCTTCACAAGGAAAGAAAAAAGAAAAAAAATCGCTCTTTAGTTCTGATGAGGATGAAGATCTTGATGATGACAACGTGTCACCTATAAAATCGCAACATTCAGATTATTTATCTATTAATGGTACTATTGCGAATAGAGATAACAAAGTTCCAGTTTCTAAATCGACATTTTCAGATGTTATAGCCGTTACAAAAGATCAAAAAATCTCGGCAATCAAAAACAATGATAGAGTAATGAAAGCTTCGAATATTTTCGACGATAACGATTCAGATTTAGATTTATTTAAGTAAAATCTTCAATGATGACATTAAATTTAACAATCTTAACCACATTACTTTTTAATTTCTTGGATAATTTTTTTTCATCATTTTTATGGTATAAGACTTTTCCACATTATTTCCCGGTTGCACATATCCTTCATTTTTTAAATTAATCCTTTGATTTTTTTTCCATTGAAACGGGTTTTTTATATGCTTTATAAGTCGAATCGCTGTGGTATATGAGAACTTGTAAAATTGATTTTTCGAAAGTTGAGCTATAAATTTTCTGGTTCTCTGTATTTTGGAAAATCCATATGTTTTTATAACTGATTTAAATAATTTTTTAATTTATTATTTAATTTTTGTTTCGTTTTTTAATTTCTTGAATAATTTTAGTTGGTGAAATGTTTATAAATGTCGTTTAAATTTGTAATTTTACTTTTACTTTTTTATGACTTTTGCGACAGTATGACTTTTTTATGACTTTTTTAAGCGACAGTTTCTAACTTTTTATAGTTTTTAAATCATTTATTTATTCCTCCTATATTTAGTATTTATATTTCAGTATTACAGATGGCGGGTCTTGCATTGTTGCTCATTTTCCTTTTGAAAGAGAATATTAATATATTTTTTTCCATTAGATACATACATAGTTTTAAAAAAAGTTTTTTGTAAAATTCATTTTTTATTTTAGTAATATTTGGAACAAATTTTTTGTTGCAAATGTTAGCCAATTATGAATTATAGTGCGGGCGAATAATATATCGTGCATATTATCAAACTGTATTCTTTTCACTTTATTTCTTTGCATATCCAATTAGAAAGTATCCGTATTTCAGGACAATTTAGGATATGGCTACTTTTAGCGTATGGCCTATGCAGTTTTTCATAAATTTTTTGTCGCTATTGTTTATTTCAGTCAATTTTATCTTTTATTTCATTTTTATTATTTGAAATCTAATTTGAAATAAAATCTATTTGAAATCTAAATCTAAATTGATTTCTTGTGAACTTTGTATATTGTATTAACATTCATTATTAATAAATATTAATATAGTAATAAATATTTAATAGTTTGCCTCATAGCTGCTAAAATTCATTCTTCATTAAAAGCAAGTGGTTGTTGGAGGGCCATTTTTCTTCACGTTAATCTAAGATTTTTGTGGTATCGAAGTCTTATTTCGGTAGTAAATGGAGCTGCATAAATGTGGGCGTAGGAAAAAAGACACCAGAAATCAATTTTACAATTGTTTTTGGCCATTTGAAACTTATTTATTTCGTATTTATTTATTAACTGCAGTGAATTGATTTTTAGGAATTTGCAAAGTGACAGTTGGCGGTTTTGTTTTATAAGTGAAGTATTCCGACTTGTTGTGTTGTGATTAGATAAATTTTATCACTGGAAAGAAAAACGACGATATTGATAAATGGCTTATTCATTCGAAAAATTGAAATCGTTGGTTAATATGAAGATCATTAAGATTTTGAATAAAATAAGATCGTAGTTCGATTTATTCATTATTCGTCACTCAAATAATCACTGGAACGACGTTTTGTTCGCCATTTACTCCATCTTTTTTTCATTTTTTGTAAAGCACCAATCATACTGTTATCATTGCTAAAAAATTTCGCATATTAGTGCGAAGACTGATAATTGATAATGATTTTTTAAAGAAATTCTGAAAATAAATTCAATCCGATAATTGTAGGAATAGATAAGTCGTTCCATTCTGTTTCTTTTCCTGTCAGCATATGAAATCAGTGGTGATATCACCATTCCATATAGCTAATCTCGAATTAATTTCTAGCAGAAGGATCTCGGCTGGCTAAGCCAGGTGAATGATATATTGTAAGAAGAACTAAATATTTGTGATATTTATACTGAAATAATATTTGGCTGAATATATTCGATTGTTGTGATTTAGGAAATTCTAAGTTATAAGAATAAGCTATGAGGAATCAAAATGGAGTTTTTATTTTAGCACTTGTATATTTCATATATTACCAAGAATCTTGAACAACTTGTGTATGCATTCTCCATTCGTCTTGGTCCAAACTTTGGCTATTTCTCGTTCGTACTTGTTTTGAAGTACTTATTAAATCGTCCTCCGAATTTTCCTCTTCTTCGCTAATTTCACGAGATATCTAATTTTTTAATTGATCTTAAATATATCAAATATTTTAGAATATATTCGTTAGTACCGTAAAATGAAGGACTTCGTGCTTATTTTCTTTTTGCGATTAATCTGAGTTTAACTAATACTGCTAACCTTTTTACTCATTTTATTTTGCGATCTGCGAAGTCCCGCAGAATCCGGTGAGATTGATACTGGCGGAGGTTTATAAGTTGCTGATCGCTTTAACTTCCTGAAACTTATTTTTTTGCGATCAATTTATTTTGAAAAGCGACAAAAAGCTGCTGCTTGAGCTGCTTTTATTCGCGTAAAAATTTAAGATAAAATAAATACGGATAAGAAAAAGAATTAGTGTGAATTATCTCACAACATGCCGAGTCTTAAAATGGATGAATTCAAATGTGAACAGGCATGATAGAAGAGATTTTGGAAGATGATATATGGAATACAAGCGTTAAACAATGATTTGGCTATAATTTCAAGCATGGTGCTAGACCGAAGACTTTTAAAACCACATACTTTATTACTGCTGGATCTAGACTAGCAAGAAATAGAAGATAATTGAGGAAATTAAAAGAAGTGAACCTTTCTTTCATAGTGTAATCACTACTGGAATCACCCTTTGATGAACTATCTGGAATTTCGCTACAAAATGAGGCGTTTTGATGATGGGATTTGCTTCTGCAAATTTCATTTATTTATTCAATTAAATTTCAGTTATCATTTATCATTTAATGAGAAATGGTATTTTTTGCCTATCATATCTTACTCATACGAAATTAAAATTTTATCATATGAAATTAAAATTTTCTATAAAAAAAATGATCAATTTACCTTCTTTTTGGTTGAGTGCAAATTGTTTCACTTCGTTCAAGTCGTTTATTTTGAGGTGTCTGATGTTCATCATCAGGTTTTTGTATAGAATCGGATGATCGTCTGCTATTACTATGGTGAATTGATTTCTTATGTTGTTGCTTATCAGTAGCATTTTGATCGCTCATCCTCATATTAACCACACTCGCATAAATTAATGCCATTTCCTAGGAATATTTCTGGCTTAAGATTTCAAATTTTAAAAGTTTTACGATAACAACTTCGCTTTATTCTTTATGAAAACCATGAAAACTACAAATATGTAAACTGCAAAATTATAAATAAAATTACAAATTATAAATAAAATACTTTAGAGAAGGTATTTGAACGAAAGAACGCCATGAAATAATGAAAGAAAAAAGTCTTCATGGATCAATCGTTTTCATTTTTTGACGGGAAAAGATCTAAACTCGTATTGGAATTCGTTAAAATTTTTGCTTTAATATTGTTATTTGTTGCACTATTGAGTGGAATAAAATAAAAATATTTTAAGAAGCTTCGATTCACTGAAAAATGCCTTAGGCGAAATAAAATACTCAACAAAAATGATATGAGCCAATATATTACAAAAAATAAACTATATGTGTTGGGAATTTTAAGGAAATAAAATTTAGTCTAATTATTTTTGTATTCCTGAAAATGATTTGACACTATTAAGTTCTTAGGCTTTTGCTTTGCATCGCATAATAAAAGAGAGATTTTTGCCTGGGAATAGAAATCCAGGTGAGTCAGCAGCACCTGAAGTTTTTGATTATAGATTCACTCCTGAGGCAAAATTCGAACTCTTCCCTCTCAATTATAACAAACTACTTGGCCATTCTGCCTTAGGAGACAAAAATTGTAAAATCTAAATGCAGCATCTCATTGAATTTACGAAAAAGATTAATGTTTATAATAAATAAATAAATCTTAAAATAAATAAAATGGAAATAAAACAATCTTCACATCATTTCAAAATATTTCAATAAATCTCATACTCATACTTGAAGTATTATCATTCGTTAAGAAACCAGAATGGAATAGAACTGGAAACTGGAAAATCCCGGCGATACACCACGTTTAGAACGGCAATATCGCCGAGGAGTGAATGCAAAAGGCAATAGAATGGCTGAGTGGGTTGTTTGGAGTGTCAATGCTGAGGTTTAGTGTCCAGCAAGGATAAACCTGGTGTTCATTCCAAAAATCTATGATGCTAGCGACTTAATTTTATTTCTATCGCCGAGTAACTTCTTAGCATAAGTTTATCTGATACGACAAGAGAGTGTAGCGAGCCAAATCAGTAATTATGATCGCCTTTAAACAAAAAAGGACGCTAGCTTTTTTCTGCAACAAAATATATGTCATTATATAAAAATTCCCTTCTCATTCCCTGTGGTGATATTGGCCTTCTTCATTTATGCTTGGATTTTTTGCCAGATGCTTATGTTTTTGAGGATTATGCGCTTACGGAGAATTTCGTCCAATTATATATATTGTCCAGTCTAGAAAATGAGAATGTGGCTCGGTGAATATCGCTTTGACGCTGTTTTGAATGAAATCTGAAGCATTCAGAAATATATTAGCAAGATAGCACCTACGGACTGCTGCGAGAAAATCTGATGCATCTATAGGCACTGGAGAAAAACCAAGCAGAGAAAATGTCATGACAAAACAAGACCTTCCATGGGGTATATTATCGACTGTGTTGGCTGAAAAATCCTGCCAGTAGTTAGAAAAACCTGGACAAGAAGGAAAACATTGATCATAACTGCACAAAAACAAGTACAGAATATTAGATCCATCGAAGCAGGAATCTACCGCACCAAATTCGAGATGTAGACACTTTACCCGAGGACCTATCTAACATATAGTGGCACGATGTAAAATGCAAGCAGGAATAGCACTGAACTAGAAGCTACACTGAAAGGCAGAGTCAAGCATTGTGTATAGAAATATCTGCTCAGCATATGGCTTAGACCCACCCAACACCAAATAGGAAATTCGACAGAAAATCGTGGAGAATCGTGAAAATCCATGCTTCTGTAAAATCTCTCTATCCAGACAAACAAGTACTGGTTAATAAATCAGATAATAAACAAGAAACAGAAATCAATTGAAATCAACATTAATAACCAAGATATATTAAAAAGTAGAATACCAAGAAGTTAAGAAGAAAAAGTATGGAAAGTTAAAAAGTCAAAGGACAAACTAGTGAAGATATGAAAGTGAAGATCAAAGTAGTCCTTGTCATAACAGCAGCAGTAGGCATTATGATCACTAAACTAGAGAATGTCTTCAACAGATTCCAGGAGAAGGCATTGCAATTAAGGTATTCTTCAGAACCCTCAGGCTCCAGACCTTTGGCTGACGTTGAAAACGACACTTATCACAGAGGGTGAGGAAATTCTTTTTAAAACGCTTTCACAAAACTGAGTGATCGTTCATAAAGCGATAAAATGAAACGATGATAATAAGATCGCTTTTACTTTTAGGTATTTTTGCAAAAATTAATATTAAATTATAAGAAATTTAATAGAAATATGCAAATCGGAAAAGTTTGTTCAAGATGAATGATAAAATAGCTGCAAAAAATTCAAAATTAGAAACGTCTGATTTTCGATAGAATTTTTCTGAAACGTCAAGGTTTATTTTTCTCATGTTGTTATGGATGTATATTTTCTCTTTAAGACGAAAATAAGACATTTTAAATATTTGTGCATATCAAGTATTCCCATGCGAATAATATAGCGATATTCGTCTCTCGCAAATGGTTTCGTTTCAACGGCTATATTAAACTAATATATAAGCAACACATATCGATTATATTAATGCATGGTACTTGCCGGTTAAATTCAGAATGAAACTGTTAGGAATAGTGAAAATTCATTAGGATGAAACTAATCATTACGATCCTTTCCAAATAATGCATAGAAATTTTTCCAAGCAAATAAAAATTTTGGTAATTTTAATTTAAGTGGTATTAAATAATTATAAATCATGTAGAAATCGTCTAAAACTAAATCTTAGAGCCAATTAGCTAAAATAAGAGCCAAGAATGATGATGTTTTATAGCTTATTGTTATCATTATTATTATTCAGTCTAACACATTTAAGTAAGAATCTGGAAATGAAAAATTTTTAATTTTAAAAAATTTGTATAAATAAAACAATATTTTCTATATTTTGATATTTCAATGTTTTACTTGATTTTTCACCAAAAAATATTTTTCATTATTTTTTTAATACAATTTTAAAAATGTTTAAAATATAGGTTGATTCAAATACGAGTCAACTTGGATACTTGGAAAAAATAAAAATACACTGGCGCAATTTATAAAATATATTTAATATAGCATTTATTACAAAAATTTTATTAAAATTTTAAAATAAACATTGATGTAGAACTGCTATGGCAAGAAAACTCCTTTAGTCGGCTCATTATAAATTTCGAAAAAATTTTTGGATTATCATTTAATAAATTTTTAAAAAATTTCTAAATTGCAATGATGAAAAAGGCCACAAATTTTTCTTCGACGGCAAGCAGCACGAATTTGATTTGTTTCGCTCATAAATTTGCTATAAGAAATGAAATTCAGATGGCTATTCACTTACTTTTCAGATTCGCGAATTCGAGAAGAAGGAGAAGGAAATTCAATAGAGTAAAAATTTTTTTCAGCATTATTCCTTGGAAAATTTTCATTTTTGCACTTATGAAAAATATGAAAATCTCTTTGACATTTCGCAATGAAAAATGAGAAAATTTTTATCAATCTTGTTTATTTGTATTTATTGAAGTGCAAACTGTTATTATTCTTCTCAAAATTGAGAATGTTTCATAGAATATTTATTTGCAAATTTCAAATATTTTTATAATTTTTTGCTGGTTTTTCTTTAAAAAAAATTTTTAGGTGAAAATGCAAAATCGTAGAAAACTTAAAAATTGCTGAAAAAAGTCAGTATTTTTAAATTTGTGAGAATTTTAATTTTTCAAATTTTCAAAATTTCTGATGAATTTTCAAAAAATTTATCTGATTAATTTATGAAATTTTCATTAAAAAAATTTAAGAATTTTAAGAGTAGGGAATTTTTAAAATTCTTAGAAATTATATAAATTATATAAATTATTGTTTATACGTAAAATAAAAAGAAAATAATTAAAAGAAGAAATTCATTTTTTTAAATCGAAAATAAAGAAAGAAAAAGAAAGAAATATTGCAAAAACTGTCGACGAAGTTTGATTAATTCGTTCGTCTCAAGTAAAATTCAATTTCAAAAAATGTATCAGATGAGATTTCGAAATGATTAATTAAATTAATTTTTCAAGTTTTTGCAGAAAAAAAATAAAACTATTTTTAAATGAATGAAAATTTTTAAAAATTTCCAAGTTTAACAAAAAAAACATCGAAAAATTTATATATTAAAAAAAATTATATAATTATATTGCATAAAAGAAAATAATAAAAATAAGAATGAATGTTAATAAAATATTTTGTATACATAATAAAAAAGAAATTTTGTATACATAATAAAAATGAAAAAAATTGCAAAAAACAATTTCTTATTAATGATTCTAAATTATTGGAAAAACTTATTTATAAAAATTTATTTAATTTATATTTGTAATTTATATTTATAATTTATAAAAAATAAATATAAATAAATAAATATTATAAAATATATGTTCTCATTATCAAAACATACAAGCAATGCGTTATCTCATTATCAAACATCTTGTCTTGGCTTAGATGTTCTAACAACTGTTTTTCAAACTTGTTGATCACTTGCTGCTGATTTATTTCGTTTCTTCAATTAGAAGAATAATAGCAGTTGTGAGGAGTTAGAATTTTTTTACGACTTTTCCATTTTTTAAAATTTTTTTGCGTCTTTTCTTTTTTTCAATGAGAAAAAAATTGAGAAAATTTTCGAATTTCTTCCTTAAAATTGGAATTTATGAAAAATATCGAATCAAAATACAACTATATTGAAAAAATTTTTTTAGACTAAAAAATGAAATAGATATTCGAAAATTAATATTCAATTCATCTCGATTTCCATTCTTTTCTGCAAAAAAAAGATTTAAAAAAGAAAAAACGCAAAAAAATTTTAAAAAAAATTAAATTTAAAATAATTTTATGGAAAAAGCAACGAATAAGCATTTCGAAGGGGACGCGCGTTCAAGCAATTT